TTATGCCTTTCGTGTCTTCTTCGTCGAAGGAGCCGATGTCAAATGCGTCCGCAGCGTTAACTTCTCCCCGGGGAGGAATCAGCGGAGGAGTGTACTAGCAAAACAGGAGTAAATCCGGATTACAACTCTGCAGTCCGACTGGTTGAGATGCGGACAAAATGGATTCTGTCCAAAGGCGGCTGACCAAAATGGCGGAAGTTCTGGAAATCACCAGTCGACCCTCCGCATTTCCGGGTTAAGCATTCACGGATTTGACTATGCTATTTGTCGCCGCCTCTGCTGCAGCTGTATACGCGATACGAAAAATATGTCCTCTCTAGGCATTTCTGGGTCCTCCAACGTAATTCTATGATCAGGTTCTCTGACCACAGAGTCAGGCTGGAGGACCTAGAAATGCCTAGAAAAGCCTTCTCTCTAGGAATCTCTAGATCTTCCAGCACAACTCTATGGTCAACGTCTGTCAGAGGTTGACTACAAAATTGCATACAAATCCCCGGAGAAGTGTTCTCTCTAGGAATCTTTAAGTCCTCCAGAGGAACTCTATGGCCAACATCCAGCAGAGGTTGACCACAGAATTGCACTGGAGGACCTACAAATCCCAGGAGAAGTGTCCTCTCTAGGAATCTCTTGGTTGTCCAGCACAACTCTATGGTCAAAATAATAATAATAATAATAATAATAAATGTCTTATATTCTCTTTCTTTCTTTTTTCACCTGAAAGTACACTTCTCTAGGCATTTCTAGGTCCTCCAGTGCTACTCTATGGTCACCTGGAGGACCTAGAAATCCCTAGAGAGGACTTTTTTAATAATAATAAATAATAATAATAATAAAATTTATTTATACCCCACATTTTTCCATTTTCATGGGGATCCTGTGCCTCTATGTTGACAACCAATTGTATTCTTGTCCTTTCCCCCCCAAGGTCCTCAAGGTTTACCCCAAAACTAGGTCTCTCCAAGGACCACCGAGATAAACCCACCATCCTCCATTCTCCATTACAAATAAACAGAACAATAATAATAATAATTAATTACAAGAAGCTCACCTTTTGCAAATAGACATGCTGCCAGTCGATCCCTTTGAAGAAGAGGTGCTCTTTCACTTCTTGGGCTCTGGGGGGAACAAAAATACAACCAAGTGGGATTTGTAGTTCCTTTTTTCAACCAAGTGGGATTTGTAGTTCCTTTTTTGAACCACGAATCCCGGACCCAAAGTACTAAACACACAGTGAAGTCCCACTAAGCGCAAATGGGTTTATCTCTCCATAAAATATTTGTTACTCGTATTAAATATTTAATTTATTTGCATCCTCCAAAACCCTAAATCTAGCAGAAACTATGTATTTCAAGAATATAAGAACGGTTGCAATTCAAGAACTGGATTTTCCTTGCAATTTTGCAGTCCAAGAAGCTTGCGGGTTTGCAAGCCGAGAATTGTTATTTTACGGGTCTCGAGATGCAAGGATTATATTTTGGTCTCTGGTTTACAATCCAAAGATTATATTTGAGTATTTTAGTTGCATGCTTACAAACCAAAAATTGTATTTTAGTTGCAT